GCGCGCGCCGGTTGCTGCGCCTGCTGCTGCAGCGCGCGCCGCCGGGCGCCGCCGCCGACAGCTGGGCGGCGCTGCTGCAGCTCATGCACCACGTGCCGGTACCGCAGCCTCTACAGCCGGCTTGTTTACTCCTTGCTTATTTCATTATGACAATAAATGACGAACACATACGCAAAATAACGTGTGTTACAGGAGTGGCACGCGTACTTGGATGAGAAGGACTTGCTCGTGAGAAGATTACTGGACATGTTAGAGAACGGTAATACAACGAGTGTAACGTACGGGGCGAGCGAGTGCTGTAGCACGTAGTTACGAGTTGTAACGTGTTGCGTGTTGCAGGCGGCTGGGGCGACGGGCGCCAGCTCTCCAACACGCTGCTGCCACTGCTGGCGCATCTGCCGCAGGACCTTGTCACTAAGGATTTTTATGAAGCCTTTTTCAATGCGATTTTTGCTGGGTAAATTCCTATTTTGTCTTAACTACACTCTTGTGACTTATTTCCACTAAAACTTAGACTAAATAATACACTTTTTCAGACTTGAAAAGAAAAATGTATTGAATTCAAAAAGTGAAAGGCAGCTGTGGATAACGAGTTTGTCTGAATGCTTACGATACTTGTCCATACAACAATATGACTACGCATTGGAGATTACCACAAATGTGCACAGAACTTGGCTAACCAGGGTGCTCTCTACGCCACAAGATGCGCAGACCAGATCCAATCTCATAAAGTACTCTGCTGGCTGCATGACGTCTCTCGTCAAATATTGGCTCAGACAGTCCTATGAACAGAAATCTGAGAAGTACGACCAGCTCGTTAGGAACTTCTGGCAAAACATAGGTTCTACGGTCTCGGCACAAATAGATAAATCCGGCAACGACGTCAATGAAATCAGCCAACTCATAGAAGGTCACATTCTGCTCTTACAAACGTTAAAAACCTCGTTCTCCCAGGAAGGTAAGAAACAATTAAACATAAAATTTGATGACGACGAGCCCAGCATCCCCGCAGAGAGCGTCACGGCGTTCGCGTCCGCCCCGCCCGGCGCGGCGGACGCGGCGGACGCGGCCGGCGCGGCGTGCTACCGCCACTGCCTGTGGCGCCAGGCCGAGGCCGCGGCCGCCGCCTACCTGGGCGTCGGCGCCGCGCGCCGCCTGGCGCCCGCCGTGCTGGCGCCGCTCATCACGCTGCTGGTGGCCTTCGACTCGGAGGCCGTGTTCCTGGCGATGAGCCGCCAGCTGGGCCAGCCCTCGGTGGCCGCGTTGTACCACAACGTGTTGCGGGGCTGGCTCTGCGAAGACGACATGCGCTGCGAGGCGCTCGTGGATGTCATCTTTCTTATGA